GGCCCAAAATATACAATTTTTAAATTTTAAATTTTTTATTGGGCTTATTTGGATTGTTTTATGCTTCTTGGGTGTGTTTTTATATCTCTGTAGGAATTTTTTATATTTTGACTAAGTTGTCAAATATGTAGGCCTAAAGCTACTCATAAAAATTCTTGAGAATACCCTTAATTTCTATTTTTTCTTTTGTTATCTTTATTTATTTATGTAAATTGACAAGTAAAAATTATATATATTTATAGTGTACAACTCCTAATGTTGAAATATACACATTTAAAAATGGCTAAATTGAGCTAATTAACATACGTATTACCTCACATCGTTATTATTTTTTTTGATGGGAATTCTGAAAGTCTAATCTCTGCAATTATCAAGAATACACTGTTGTTACTATAGGTAACCATGTTATACAGTAGATCGCATGAAGTTTTTCCTCCTATCTAACTGAAATTTTGTGTTCTTAGACTAATATTTTCCCAACTCCCCCTGTCTCCCCAGCCGCTGTAAATTCCTCCTTACTCTCTGCTTCTGTGAGATGAACTTTTTCCACGTGTCTGAGTGATGTTATGCAGTATACGTATCTGTGTGCCTATTTCACTGAACATAAAGTCCTCGAGGTTCATCCATGTTGTTACAAATGACAGGATTTCCTCCCTTTTTAAGGCTGAATAGTATTCCATTATGTATATATACCACATTTTCTTTATCCATTCAATCTTTCATGGACACCTAGGTTTTTTTCCATGTCTTGGAAATTATTCTTCTGCATGTGGATATTCAGTTGTCCCAATACAATTTATTGAAGAGACCCCTTTTCTCAGTGTGTATTTTTGACATCTTGCTGAAATATCAACTGGCTGTAAATGCGTGGATTTTTTTCTGTCTGTTCTATTCCACTGTTCTATGTGTCTGTTTTTAATACCAGTTACTGTGCTGTTTTGGTTACTATAGCTCTGCCATAGATTTTGATGTCAGGTAGGGTGATGGCTCTAGTGTTGCTTTTTTGGCTAAAGATTGCTTTGGCAATTTGAGGTCTTTTGGCGTTCTATAATAATTTTAGAATTATTTTTTCTAATTTTATGAAAAAAGTTGTTGGTATTTTGATAAGAATCACATTGAACCTGTAGATTGCTTTTGGTGGTATGGATGTTTGAACAATATTTAACAGTATGTCCAATCCAAAAACAAAGGATACCTTTTCATTTATATATGCCTTCTTCAAATTCTTTCATCAATGTTTTGTATTTTTCAGTATCCAGTATCCAGTATTCAACATATATAAACA